AGATGGAGTTCAGTGAAATAAAACATAGCTTTTTTTGCAGGTGCTCGATTCACAAAAATTAGCGGATTTATAATCGAATAGATTTATCTTTGCTTGTCTTTTATGAACCAGTCCATTTCTGTGACTTCAAGCTTCATTTTGCTTTTTTTTTGTCCACGGTGGAACCCATCAAAATGATCAAAATCGTAAAACCAATTTTATACCAACCAGACCCTTATGTCTGTGTTTTAGCTGGATTGACAATCTGATCATATTTTGGACTTAAAAAAAAAAAAGCAATCACAAAAAAAAAAAAAAAAAAAAAAATTTTTAAACCCACATTTGTCAAACCTAAGGGGCAGTGGCCAGATCCACCCAACTGATTATTTTATGTGGCACGTGAAAGCATATCATGCCTGTCTGGTTCACTTTTCTTGTTAAAATCTGGATCAAAATTGTCATTTTTCTTCACTTTTACTGCCCCTGGCATATTGTTTTTACCAATCCTTTTATTGAAAAAAATAGCTGGACTTCCTGTCTAACTTGACTTCCTATTTATTTCGAAACCGAATATCCATCTATTCGTAGTTTCATCTCTAAGCACACTCGAAAAACATACTAGTCACTTTCTAAACGTGTTTTTTTTTCTTTTGTTTTGTTTTGTTTTTTTTCCCTCCTGGAAATACGTTTTCAACGAGAAGCTTTCTTCCATTATTATGCACATTCTTATCAGCGGTTGCACAGCACAACCAGTACAAGTGTCAGACACTGATAATCTTCTCAATTCAGGAGTTGGGTATCACGCTCGTTTTGTCATCCTAGCAGAATCTGCCAACACTAGTTTGCTGCACGATCTTGGACTGCTTTGTCTCTTCCAAAGAAAATTAACTGACTTATCAAATTAGAAGTGTAGTTGTATCTGAAACAGTGTGACGAGTGCAGCCCTTATGCGCTCGTCAGAACATAGAGAAACAATGAAATATTGTACGTATAATTGCCGCATTGCAACAAAAAACGGATATTGTGATAAAAGTAACTTATCACTTTTTTTTTTTTTTTTTTTGCGGTACACTAAAATGCAGAATAACGGGAGCACAGTTTGAATTCAAATCCAGTATAGACTGTATCAGTCATTACGATATTTGCAGCTTTTTAAGTGCCAACACTAAAACTACCCCCCACCCCCACCCCTCCGCGCCCTCCCATGGATAAAGCATTTAAAAATAACTTGTTTTCATGACATCATGGCCTCTCGCAAATGGAATCCATTCATTTACTTTTGAGAACACAATTTACAAAGCACTTAACAGAACTGCAAATGGCGAATCTGATGCCTGGGAAGCCTTTACTGAAGTTAAAAATCAATAACATTGCATCTCACTTCACTCGGTTTCAATGTTCTGTGTTTCCCTGGAAGGAAAGCCATCACTAATATATTCTACGACACCGTAGTGATATGACTTCCAAACGCCGGACTTGAAAAAGTGTTTTCTTCGTCAAAATGCTGATAATTAGCTCTGGGAAAGAACAAAAAGATGACAGGGATAAGCGCCAAACATTCACACCGTTATTAAATGCTTCACTCGCTAATTAGCTACCTGTAGGTAATTCCATTCACAAGGTCCGATTAAAATCTACATCGGTGTCAAAGTGAAGAAACTACAGAAAAGAAGCCATAAAAAATATGTGGCTACAATCGTGTTTTGAGCATTTACCGCAGTCGCCTTCTCCTTTGGTTCTACCTGAGCGACAGATACAGTATCTGAGCAGTGCCGCTGATTGGATCTCAGTGTCAGTGAGGAATTGAAGGTGTTCCTTGAAATTGACCTCAGTCTAATTACAACTGCTCCAATTGTACCTCTCTGATGGCCTCCCCGCAGGAAATGTAAAAACCGAGACGTTAAGATCGAGCGCGAGCGATTTTTGAGTTGATGCTGATCGCAGGAGAAGAAACGTTGTACCATGATGGTGTTTAAGATTTATTTAATTGTTCGATGCGGAGGTTGGTGAAACGTACAGCACATCTATTTTTATGTTCCATGTCTCTTTCTCATTCTATCTTCTTTCCTGTCCCTGAGAAGAGAGGTCACGCTGCCCTCCAGCTACCGTGCCTGCAGCCACGGGATGACATCATCACATAGCTGCCTCGTCCTTGCAGTGACTATTCATCACCCCGATCATCAGCAGCATCACCTGGCTGCACACACACAAGCAGGCAGGCAGGCGCGCACACACACACACACACACACACACACACACACACACACACACACACACACACACACACACACACACACACACACACACACACACACACACACACACACACGCACACGCACACGCACACACATACACACACACACATAATTGCAGAAATCGAGAGCCTGCTGCAGCTCTGCAGGATGGCAAGAGTAAAAAAAAAAGGAGGGATAACGCAGAGAAGGCGATGTAGAGAGTAGGAAGATCCTGCTGGGGTAGGCAGAAAGTCCTGACCTATGCACTTGCTACTATACATCTCAATAAAGCCCAATCCGGACAAATGTGATGAGTCAGACCGGAGGATACTCAGGAAGAACAGGGCACTGAAGACCATCAATGCATTTGTCCTCCTAGAACTTCCCTCGAGCAAAAAGCACACGTACAGTGTGTCCTTTCCCTTCGACACCAGTTCTTGCATCTGAAATTCCCTTTGGCAGTCCTCTCTTTATTCCAGATGCTAGATGACAAACACTGCAGCAAGTGGAAGAAGCACACTGAGAACATTTAAGATTTTTTTTGTTGTTGTTGAACTTATCAGAGGTAGATACTACATAGGCGAATTTGATTTCCACTTCAAAATTCAAGTACAATGCGCATGAATTTAAAATTGTTGTTGCACTACTTAAATAATTCAAGCATGCTTTACGAATACGAAAACCTTTATTTGTCTCACAATGGAGAAATTCCCATAATTTGGGAGCATAGTGGAATGCACTAATACATTTAAGATTAAAGGACTAAAAATGTGTACTTGTAATCTAAACCACACCCCTATTCTAATTCAAAAGTAAGTGGGGCTCAGTTATTGGCTAGCAGGAGGAGCAACCCGAGAGACCAGCACATACTGGTGACAGCCAAAATGGATCGCCCCCTCAGGAGGGTTTGTGTGATTTCCAAATGGTCAAGTAGTGTTGTGATGGTGAAGAAAGATATTTTTGGACGGGTGACAGTCTGTTCACTGTGTGAAACACATAAAGGTTGCAAAGTGCTGTGACAGCGAAGGATGGTAAGTTTAGGAACGGTTTGAACATGTTCAAAATTTTTTGTCGACAAGAAAAACTGTTTGCGCACCTTTTGCGACCTTAACGAACCCTGACGAGAACCCAACATTCTCTGCAATCCCCCCTCTTTGAGATACCACTTTAATATATGCCTCTTGCTTTTCGATCGTATTTGTGGATTCAGCTTCGATGTTCATTCAACACAATGAACCAGGAGACACAGAGATGTGGCGCAAGACAGCAGATCCAGATTTGCATATGTGTTTTTGGAACACAAAATCATGTTTGATGGCTGGACGGCTCAGTGAGTAACACGACTGACTTTGGACACAAGGACTGAGGTTCAAATCCTGGCCAGCGCAAATGGTAATGTTCACCTTACGTAAGTCACACATATAAATGGGTCCTTTAACGTGGATGAAAATGGGTGGCAGAGGAAACTGTGCCAAACATATCATGTGAGTGCCTTGCAGTGGTGCCCTCTGACCGGGAAAAGTTGAAAGTCACTTTTTCCATCAGCTGGAGAAAAAACTTTACATGTACCGTATTTTCCGCATGTAAGGCACTTTGGAGAATAAGGCGCACCTTCAACGAATGGCCTATTTTAAAACTGTGTTCATATATAGGCCACACCACATTATAAGGTGCATAGAATAGATGCTACATTCGTGGCTGCAGTTGCGTTATGCATCCACTAGATAGAGCTACGCTAAAGGAATACAATACAACACAATATAAAGCTTTTACAACCGCTGCAGCTGTAACAAAGCACTTTCCAGAACATTTAAAATATTACGCCCAAGAAATCTGAATAATGATCCATATATATATATATATATATATATATATATATAAAGAAAAAATAATTCCATCTTGATAAATTACGTGCTGTTTGTCAAACGGCATGTAATTGTTGTATCGGAAAAGATCACGTCACAGGTGACCAGAAATCTTCAATCGGAATAATTTCAATCATATTGACAAAAAAAAAAAAAAAACAAATGTAAAAACCAGCTTCTGTTGCCATAAATGGCAACAATTTCAGTTTTGAAATTGGCCCAATCTAAATGACTGTTTTAGCCCGAAAAAATACAAGTTGTGTTTTTAAAGTCTACTGTAAACAAATTCCTGCATTTTCTGACAAATTTGCTTCACAAATTACAGAGTGTACTCGCAATCAGTGGCCCGCTTTTGTTTTCAGTATTTTCACAAGAGATATAAATACAAAACTTTGACAATATGTCGATGATTTCTTGTGCTATTTCCAACCACAAGATGCCCGTTCAAAAATGCAAAAGTTCACTTCAACTCCAAATTTGGCCGGGGCATGAATAATTTGAGCTTAACTCTAGTTCATTTACAGTCTCCGTCTCGCTCTTCATACTCATCAGACAGCAGAGACTCTCCTGCTCTGTCCCAAATTAAAGCTTTTCTCAACATTTTCAAGAATTTCAAACATCCTTGGGAATCATGGAAGTTTCAGGACTCCAGTGTCCCAACGGAGCGCTTGCTATTAATTCATTTTTTTGTATTTCTCTTCAGCCTTTGATCGAACGATCAAAGTTAAACAGATTGTTCTTGCAAAATGGTGTGTACTCTTTTGAGAGCGTATGTATACATTGCAGGAAGACAATGTACTAATGCCAACAAACGAGGTTATGTCACTATAAATGTAATCCCCCCCCCCCAGGTAACGTGGCACCACGAGGAATAGAAAAATAATGAGAGAGTAAATGTAATGCTCTGTGAATGTTGACTCACGTAGTCATGGAAGGCCTTGGCCTCGCTGGAGTGCTCACATGTGTCTCTTCTCTCTGGGGCTGCGCAGTATAGGTCCCAGAAAACACTGCAACACACAGCACATCACATTTTAGCTTCTTTTACAGTTAGACATCCATCAGATGAATACAATAGTATATTTCTTCCATGTAAAAGATCTTCATTGAGGTGCTCCTCATCCTCCGACCGAAAAGAAAAAAAGTTTGACCATCGCTAGACAATCTAGTGACCTGTTGGTGCTAAATCTCGGTTCCCATTCTCTAAGCCTGATCCTTTGCTAGGTCGTCCTGGAAGCTTTGTTCTATATAGCTCTCGCCGGTCCCCACAGACCGCAATGACATTGTCCCATATTGTTTTTATTTCGCCAATCACCACGCAGTGTGTGTGTGTGTGTGTGTGTGTGTGTGTGTGTGTGTGTGTGTGTGTGTGTGTTGTTTTTTTTTTTGCTTGGCTGTGTGTCTGCTTGTTTTGCAAATGACTGTGACGGATTAAGAAAAATGTTCTCGAATTCGATTGGCTGAAAAAGAGGGAAAAAGAAAAAAGAAGAAGAAGCAACAGAAGAAGTCCTGACGGTTCTAAAATAGCGGTGACAAACTGTAAATTAGCGATGATAGGAGAGCGATTAAAATAATGATGACGGAGTGACGGAATGACGATGACAGATTTGGTCGGCTTGAAATAATGACGGACTGACGGTGATGGACGGGTGGCCCAGCTGCTGGCTAATGGCGAATGACGGACCAGAAAAATTTACTGACGCCCCCACCTCGGGTGATTGGTTGACGAGACGTAAGACAATAACTTACCACCACCAAGAGTGGAGAAACCCTGGAGGTTCTCCTAATGTGATGTTCTTCTCCCATCGGATCTAGACAAACCGGGAGATAGAGCAAGTTGTTTTAGTGAACACTGAAAATTTAAAAAAATATATATAATAAAATAAACAAGCCACCAGACACAATGTTATGGTCATGTTGCATTCTTAGGCTAATAGAGAGAGAGAGAGAGAGAGAGAGAGGGAGAGAGAGATCTTAAGTGGATAGGTCAGTCTTTGTCTGCAAACTCACAACAACCTGAGGGTGTGTTGGGATGACATGAGGTAATAGACATGTACCAGCCTGAGAAGCGCATTTAAACACCCCCAAACACACATCCTATTATTTACCAATCCCTCTTAAGTCTCCTTGTCTTCATTTCTCCTTGCAGTGTGGGTTCATATTGAAAGAGTTTCCCTAAGAAATGACTTGCTTTTTTTGATTTTACTGCTGGTTAATGATCATATGGAAATGAGAATTCTAGGACCTGGACACAAAGTAGAACACATTATTAGCTTTCCTTCTCATCTTTCCATTTGAACAAGAAAAACACACAATCAAAAACAAACAGCACGTTCGAGTTAATCAGCGATTGTTGTCTTTGCCCAATAAAAAAAACAAAAAAACCCCCAAAAAAACAACCCAAAACCAAATACTTTGAGAGCATGGGATTGTTGTCTTTGCCCAATAAAAAAACCCCAAAAAACAACCCAAAACCAAATACTTTGAGAGCATGTTTTTTTTTTTGCTTCCTGTTTAGGTGCGGAAAAGGTAACGAATAAATCCGCGAGAGAGGATTTATTGGTGTCTGTTGAAAAGTCCGTGGCAATGTCAGAAAGGTGCAGAGGGAGTTCAGACGCACAAATCACTTGGGATATACGGTCCTGTATGCACTGACTCAGTGAAGGTCATTGACTAACACGGCAATGACGTCAACCCGTATACTTGAATTTGATATATGTTCACACGCCGTGCATATAAAGACGCCCACAGACACTCTAAAAGTCTGCATTATCATCATCATCATCATTATCACAATACTGGTCGATTTCTGACAAGCTGATTTGTCTTGGTGGTTTCTAAATGATCTCAACATTTGATCTGGATAAAAGAAGACTGAGTCATCTATTTTACCAGACGCGAAGACAGATAACAGGAAACAGTGGAACATTGAAATTTTTAGTCAGACTGTTCTGACCTCACATGCAGGTCACGCAGTGTTTGGAAGGAATGCTTTGCTTTGAAGCTCATTGGTGAGGGAGTGAGGAAGGAAGTGTCTCGCTTGCTTTGCATGTTTCGACAGCACGAGCGAAGACATTTGTTGACGTGCCGCATTCATGTGGTGTGTAGTGAGACAACTAGTTAGTCAAATGGAAACAAAGGATACGAGTCACGCGGCGCTCAATTCCTACGATGTAAAACAACCGCCGTGGTGTCGAAATGCGTTTATCGACAAAAAAAAATGAAACAGCCAATAATTCTAATACTGATCAAATGTGTTTTTGATCCAACCACAGTGGAATGAAATTAGAAAATTTGAAACCCTTGCGGTCACGCTTTTCAGAATTTGAACACAATTTGGGGGACAGAAATTCACATCAAAGCAAATCTAAATTTTGCAAACCACTCTCTTAGAGGTGTCACAAAAAAATCTGAGTACATGGTATGTAATCAAATGAATTTGTTCCACTTTAGAATACTGTATATCGAGATCTGGATTAAATCATCTTATACTGGAGAGATATATGTTTGAAGTCAATAGCACATTTACCTTAGCTCATTCAAATTTGAAATGGCGACAAGACACTCAGTGCATCATATCCTCTTGAAATATCAAATCTAATCGTAATCCCCTTGAATCGTATTACATCACACATATCGAGATGCTTATAGAATTTCCTCTGATTGGAGAGATGCAAATTTTTTCACGATACCATGCCAGGGACAGATCTTTTTTTTTTAATTGTATGTTTCTTTTTCTTGATCAAACAGTACGTTTTCTCTCACATTGCCACAATTTTAAAAATGCTCGCACCCGTATTTTGGGGAAACATGCGTATATGTCTGGTGTACTTCCTGAGGCGGCGGATAGCCGATAAAATGTGGCTGAGCTTGTGCGCTAGTTGTATCCAGGACTGTGTTTACACTTGTTGCGCTCTGAGCTAATGCATTCCCACAAATGACACCGCCTATCCTTTTCATCTTCCATACTAGGGGAGGGGAGAGCGAAGACCGCACGTCTTTTTTGCGCATGTGCACCCGCATAAAAGTAGAATCGTGCCAGCGGTGATGTAACCTTTTCCATCTTCCGTCTCTTTGTTGTCTTGCCACAAGCCTCGATCCACGGACCTCTAAAATGGTAATTTACTGTTATTTAGGCTGAGCCATCCGAATCTACTGACCACCCCCCCCC